AGGAAAACTTATTTCTAAGTTTCAGGGCTCTTTGTTTTGCTAAGAAGTTTCAATAGACTGCTGGGTTTGGTATGAAAAATGACCTCCTTCCCCACTACTGTGGAATGGAGAGGTGAGATGACATGGGTATTAAATTAATTTGCTTAATAAGATATCAGCAAGTTTCAGAAGCCCTTTGGAGAATCTGTGGAGCCCTTGGGTGACACAAACTACTAAAGGGACTATTCATCGAAGACTGGCCATTCAAACCTTCAAACCCACTCAGAAGTGCCCTGCAAGAAAAGCCTGGTGACCTGCTTCCGAAAAATCACAGCCTTGAAAGCTCAGTGGAGCACAGTTCTACTCTGACACGTGGGATTGCCTCACAGCAATGGGTTTTGTTTTGTGGGAACTTCTAATGGAAGAAGGTGAGGAGTAACCCTGTCACTCACTGTACTTGGAGCTGAGGCAAGAGAAGGAGCTGGGGGTGGGAATGGTGAAGAAAAGAGGCCGCCTTCCAGGAAAGGACACCCCCACCGCTGTCTTGGGGAGGCGAGGAGTTCTAGGAACACTGATACATACTAGTTTGTGGTTTTGATCTCTACTCTAGCCTTTAGTAACACGTGATTAGTCACAAGAATGATGTCTGCTGCCAGTCAGTCTAGCCTTGTTTCCACAGCGAACCCTGTGTTCAGGTTCAAGGAGAAGCAGTACAGAGAGAAGGTAGATGACAGCAGAGAAATGAGCACGGGTTAGGAGAGGCCAAATGGGAGGTCACCTGCCATAGAAACTGCACACACCCTCGCCACGGAGGACTCTGCCTTGGCCTCAGAAGGTCCCAGAAACATCAGGCCGGACCAGCCAGGCTTCTGAGGATCACCATCATCTCCTTTTCTTTATCCAAGGAGGAGGCAGCCGCACAGGGCAGGAGGACACGACATGCTTGAGGTTCCGTCCTTTAATCTTATTTCCAGCTCATGTTTCCACTTTTCCAAAACCCCAAAGATATCCCTATCTGGTTATCTCCTACCACCAAAATGTCAAAGCACTCCTTCCTAAAACTTAAGACTATGACCTAGCCTCAGCCTCGACTCCCTTGAAGCAAGAACTAAACAGGTTTCTCTTTTTAATTACAGTTGTGTGCTGATTAACCTCCACAGATATTCTATGAAATAGGACGCTACGTGAAGAAAACATTGTGCAAACATGTCCAATAGCGTTCACTGATTTTTCACCTACATGTTCTTTAATAATCTTCTTGTTTCACTTTCAAATTAATACTTCTTTGCCTCTGCTACTGCTATCACTTAAACCGGTTTTGCTGCCTTTGAGAGCTGCTTTCATGGTAATGATAATATTGATAATATATTCCCATGGTAATACTTTCCCCCCAAAAAAATGAAAACAGAGCTAACACTACAATACTGAAGAGACATGCAATATATGAGATTGGATGCTGCTGTCTCCTGCTTGAGCCATACACTGTCATATGGGAAGCTTTTTATTTGTAAGCAGGGAAAGTTCATATTGAAATAACAATAGAAAGTACAGTACATGCATAAGCCAGCAATATAGGCATTTATTTTAACTTTTCAGACATACATGTTATAGGCTACTCTATTTCACTCAAATAACATGAGCCTTTCAGTTTGCTTACCAAGTGCTCCACCTCTCTCATAAAAAGAATTATCCTAGAGTTTAAGAAAACACCTTGCAAGGGAGGCCAAAGTTAGCAAACAAATGTAGGAAGCAGGCATGTCCTATTTGTGTAAAACTATAGGCTCTAAAAAGATGTATGAGTGTACAGGAGCTCCAGTGGTGCTGTGGTTAAGGCTTTGGCTGCCAACCAAAAGCCATTCCATGCAAGAAAGACCAAGCATCTGCTTCTAGAAGAATTTATGGCCTTGGAGACCCTGTGGGCAGTTGGTTCTCTGCAGCCCCACAGGATGGCTGGGGTGGAAGAGCCTCACTGGCAGTGGGTTTGGTTTGGCATTGGGTATCACTGGCAGCATAATGGATCTGTGTACAGAGCCATAAATACATGTGTGTAGAAAGCTGTAGTGTCCGCTATGTCTAGTTACACCTGCTGCTTCCCCTGTGCTGACTGGAATTTCTGGGCTCTGTTATTATCTTATGGGGTCATGGATGTATGTGTAGTCAGGTGTTACACAGCGCATGACTCGATGCTATCCCGGTCCAGACTGCCATTGCCAATCCAGTCTTTCAAGCAGAAACAACATGAGGCAAATCGGCCTCTTTGTCCTTGAGTAACTTGAGTTACTGAGGATTTTACTGAATGCTGGCACCACGCTGCCTGCTTAACCTGAATGACTCCTTTGAATCTTCCCTGGGAGGCCAGTACTGTCTATTTATCTCCATTTGCAGCTGAAATTGAAGCTCAAGGAGACCACGTGACTTATCCAAGGTCACACAGCTAGTAAGACTCAGAACTAGTGTCTGAACATTGTTTTTTTCTGTATTTAATCCAGGCTTTCAGTCACAGTCTCCCTAAGATTTCTGTCTCTTCTATCTTCTTGAGGTTGTTTTTTTTTTTTTAAATTTGCAATGGCTCTCTTAAAGTCAGAGAACTAAACATCCCATCAATGCTTTATATCCAGCTAGTACAACAACCTTCCTCCTGCCACCATCTAACCTTTATTTAAAAAGAAAAGAAAAGAAAACAAAACACACTTGATTTCATCAGGTCATTCATTCCCTAGCTTAGAATTGATGGTGGTCTTCTCTTGTCAACCCAGTTCAATCTACTGTTGCCCAAGCCCCATCCTTCTGTGTGGCTCCCGTGACCAGGAGAACATCCCCCTCTCTTGAAAAAAACTTTCTGTCGCTGTCCTTACTGCTCCCCATTGCTTTCCTGATGCTTTTGTTTGTGGTCTCCCTTCTTCTTTTTTTTTTTTGGCAAGAACAGTTTTAAGTATTGATAAAGAAGGGAGAGATAATTCAATAAATATTATTTTTTTCAGGGATAAAATGATATAGATAATATATTATAACTGACAATATAAAATAATATTATTTCTAATTTTTTTGTTATTTAATCTTTTTTTAAATAATTTTAATGAACATTTACAGAGAATTTGGATTTCCATTCATTCATAGCTGCACTTCTCTACCCGCCCAGCCCTCTCCCCCAACCCCCTAGTTTGCTCCTCTCTTTCAAAAGTAAAAGAAAGACTCCTTCCCTGGTACACAATCCCCCCGCACCCCTCCCACCGCCCCAAGTACATTCCACTATGCAACCTTAATTGTGGACTCTTGTGATAACCATAATAACCTATCATACATTGCTTTTAAATTATTCAGTCCCTCATCTGTTTCAGTGCAGTATATACAATTTATCCAGTTTTTCTCGGTCTTACCCCCACCCTGATATCAGTACCATTTTCCAGCAGTGGCACCATGCAATATTTGCCCTTTTGCGACTGAGATAGTTCACTCAGCCTAATGTCCTCCAGGCTCACCCATTTTGAATAATATTGAATGAGTTCCTTGTTTTTCAATGCAGCATAGTATTCCATTGTGTGAATATACCACAGCTTCTCTATCCATTCATTTGTTGATGAGCACTTACATTGTTTCCAACTCCTTGCTATTATGAACAGAGCTGTGATAAACATGGGTGTGCATATATCTGCTTGGATGTCAGTTATGGTCTCTTTGGGATATATTCCCAGTAGTGGAATTGCTGGGTCAAATGGTATCTCTATTTGCAACTTTTTGAGAAAGCACCATGTGGTCTCCCTTCTTAAATAATCCAACTCAAATCGTCTCCCTTTTCTAGCCAATTCAACTCTTCTTCTGAATTCCCTTAGCTTTTATCACAGAAATCAATTCACCTTACTGCCTTGCTTAACACTTTTACAGGCTCCATGTCATCTATAGGGCAAAGTTCAAACTCCTTAGCATGGCACCTAGAGATAGGCATGACTTGGCTACCATGGGCCTCGCAGCCTTTCTCCTGCTTGTTACCTTTTGCACTTCATGTCCTAACAGTGCTGAACCACTGTGCTGGTGATTTTCTCAGCACACACAACTGCTTCCTACTTCAGGCCTTTTACATTCTTCATCATTTTATGCACCTTTCCTTACCTCTCTCTCCCAACATACTTCCAGACATCCCTACAAATAGTATGCAGACATCAGCTCGTCTCTGAAAATATCTTAATATATTTTTCCCAGATGGAACACATTATTCCCTTCTCTGGTCTAGTTCTCTTTGGTGTAGATGTTTCTATTGCCTTTAGTCAAATTTGTCTAGTTAGAGGATACAGTATATTCTTTGCAAGCTCTGGTGACTTAGTGGTGAGGAACTCTGATGCTAACCCAAAGGCACACAGTTTGAATCCACCAGCTGCTACACGGGAGAAAGATGGGCAATCTCCTCCCGTACAATGTAATGCCTCTGAAAACTGCTGGAGCTGTGATTTTGTTCCAATGGCACAGGACATAACAAAATCCAAATATTCCTTGAGGATAAGATATTATTTCATGCCTTTCTAATTCCTTTGTATCCTGAGCTGTGCTTACAAATAAACATATCTATAAATGTCAATTGGATGGAAAGTAAAATTTAGCAAGCAGTTGTTTCAAGGTAGAGGAGTATTAGGGAATGCTAGTTGGTGGTCTAGTGGCAAGAAGCTGCACGGCAATTCCAAAGGCAGGTGGTTTGAGGCCACCAGCTGCTCCGTGCGAGAAGGATGGGCAATCTCCCCCTCTGAAAACCTGGCTGTGGGTCAGTTCCGACTCGACAGTACACAACAACAACAACAAGAGTTGTGTTGTTGGTTCTCCCAGTGACTCTCACAGTAGCAGGCTGAAGGCTTCCTGCCATCGTCTTAGGCATGGCCAAGCTTGTATCTCCCTCGGAGGAATGACTGATGGGCTGACAGTGCAGTCTGACTCGGCATCTCTCTGAGCCTCTCCCTTCTCCTCCTCCCTCCTTGTGCTCCATTTCTGAGCACTGGACCCCGGCACACCCCTCCACACCCCCCATGCTCACATACCTGGGCCTGCTGGATCTTCATCAGCCACTGAGTACACTCTGTGGAATTGGGGCAGTGCACAATAAAGGCACTAGAGACACACTGGAATTCAGTGAGGTTGATCACCAGGAAGCTGTCTGGGGGAAGAAGAGGGTCTGCTTCAATGCCTGGCCCTCACTGAATCTCCATCCTAGCCTTCCCTTCCTCCCTTGCTGAGAATAAGAGAGAAAGAAAAGGCCTCTAGGAAAGGCCCCCGATGGGAAGACATACTGGGGTCTCGGAGTGTCTGGCACACAAGCTTCTCCAGCATGAGTGGGGGGCGGATGACCTTGGCTTTGTCTGCCTTACGCGGGGGCTTGGTCACTACGAGCACATCAGAGAAGAGGAACAGGTACGCGTCCAGCTGAAAGGGGAAGGGGTAGAGTCAGGGGTCAGCAGGAGCAGGGGGAACGGCTGGCTATACGTGGCTTATATGTGACATGCATGTGTGCATACGTGCACCAAGCAAGTGAGGGACCATGGAACACCAGAGCTCACCCAACCTCTCCCTTCAAAGGCTGGGAAATTAACTGGCTCAGGGCATAGAAATAACCAGAACTGAGCACCCATACATACGCATGCACGCACGCAAGCACGTACACATGTACACACGTGCACATCCCTCATTTCAATTCCAGCTTTTCTGCCCCCTAGGCTCCACCATCCCATCATCCTGGCTCTTTATTTCCTCTTCTGCACACATCACCCTCACCTTGCCTTCTCGTCCCTCCTTCACTCGCACGAGACCCTCCAGCAGCAGCTGCCTGGTGTGCTCAGGGGCTACCCCCAACATGGGGGATGTTAGGTCCAGGATAGAGAAGGGGCGAAGGCTCTGAAGGACACAGAGAGTAGAAGATCAGAGCACAGGCACAGGGTGTACTCAAATCCCACCTGGCAGACCTCACCTGGCTCCTCACCCTTGCAGACCCTCCCACTGATGTGACGCAGGAACGAATCCACAGCCACAATCAAAGTGGTGACAGGGGCCACAGGAGAGGCAGGGCTCAGCTCTGCACCCTGCACATCCCATTCAACCAAACTCAGCCACAGCCCCTTATAGAGGCCAGTGCTCACTGCCACCCACAGAGGAGAAAAAGAACCACACACTACAGACTATACCACCAGAGCTGTCTTCTGTCTCTTTTGACCCCTATCCCTTGGACCTCATCACTCAGAGGAACAATGGGCACATCCCCTCTGTGGCACCCAAGTGTACCATTATCTCATATCCATCTTCCCGGGCCTCACTTTCCCTGAGCCCTCGGCCCTCTCTCACCTTCTCCACCTCCTCACTGGATGTCTCCAGCACCTCATAGGGCCCAATACGCTGGGCAACAGCCACCAAGCTCTCCTGCTCCTCACCCTGGCGGACTTGCCCATTGATGTGATGCAGGAATGAATCCACCGCTACAATCTAAGTGGTGACGGGGCCACAGGAGAGGCACAGCTCAGCTCTGCACCCTGCACAGCTCACTCAACCAACCACAGCCACAGCCCCTCAACAGGCCGAGCCCAGCAGTGCCCATTGCCACACACGGAGGAGAAAACAGACCACCCATCTACTTCCACCCACCAACTCCCAATTCCCAAGGGTACTGGACCAGCCCGGGCACCTACCATGGTGTTTAGTGCTTCCCGAGTTCGAGCCTCAGGGCTCCTCTTGAGCACAGCCTGGAGCAACAGCGGGTACTTGGTGACACGCTGATGAGGCTTGATGAGCAAATCACACAGCATCTGCTTCCCTGAGCGCTTGTGTGTCTCACACCACTGCCAGGAGACGCGGCCAGGGGTCAGGAGGCTGCACCCTCCCTCCTGCCCTACCCCAGGGAGGAACTCAGCCTCGAACCCAGCTGCACACAGGGATGACCTGGTTGTCTGGGATCCACCCCACCCTCCTTCCTTGAGCACCCTCTGTCCCACCTGCACAAAGGTCTGGAAGAGAGGGTTGGTGGCTTGCAGCTCCCGGGCATAAGCCATGGTCTGCTTCACTTTTAGGCAGTAACGGACATAGGGCTGGAACCTCTGGCCAAACTGGGGTTGGGGTTAGGCAGGAGAAAGAAGATTGTGAAACATGGGCTCTGACTTCAAAGCATGGAAGCCTAGTAGGGAGGAGGCTTCACAAAGCAGCTCTATCCAGCTCCTGCCAATCCCTACTTCCTGAAGTCATGTTCATGGGCAGGCCCTTGCTGCTTTCTGAGCTGCTTCCATCTACAGCCCTGCTGCTCTGACCTTATTATCCACTCTCCCACCATCAATAATTCAGCTGGAATGTTTTCAGGCCACTGCAGATCCAATTTCACCCAGGGAAGGTGGGGTAGTCACCTAAGGGTTGTTCAGAAGTCCTACTTCTACAGAAGGGGTGCCCAGGAATTCTGGAAGACTGTGCCAGGGCTTCTCCACTCCCTTCCAACTCAGCAGGCTCCATAGCTTCTTCCATGTGAGGAAAAATTGCAACTTGGCCCTATTGTTTCTCTCCTCACACTTCTCCATGCTCCTGGTGGCCCTGGTTCTTTCCTGTCCCCCAGTCATCCTAAGCCTTGCCAAGGTCCCAATATCTGCTCTCTGCTATTTGTCAATGAATCTATGTATAAGACTACAATTTAAGATGATGTGTAATTCTTCCCTGAAATAGCTGCATTTTCATTTCATATTGGTCTTGAAAAGGCCAAAGGACATTTGAGAGAATGGTCATATTGGTAGAACAAAGGACAAGGAGTGAAAGGAAATTTTAGGGTAGGGGCTGTGCCCTGTGAATCCCTCAAAACACAGAGGCATTTAAGTCACACAGCAAGCCCTACAGCCAAGAACCCACTGGGTCTCCTGGTCCTGCCCCATCTAGATGTGGCCTTTTCCCACGCCTCACCTTCAGGAAGCCATTTTGCAGGCTGACAGGGTTCAGAGGTTGGCCTGAGGCTCGAGTCTCTTCCAAGGTGGGCCTCAGCACTTCCTCCCAAAAGCTCCGGTGGGCTCGGATCAGGCTGGGTATATTTCCAAACAGGGTCTCAACAGATACCTGGAGGAGGGAGGAGTAACATGCTTTCAGCTGGACCATCACCAGGGCACTGGCTCTGGGAAGGGGAGCAGGAGGCTGGAGAGGTGTGAAGGAGGCATGAGTCTGAAAGGGGCCTGAAGAATCTCAGGGCTCCAGCTTTCCCTTCCACCTCTGTGGCTTCAGTGGGTTGAGTACTGGGGAGCTGGACCCGCCTGGGGCCTAGAACAAGAGCAGGTACAGGGTGGGCAAGGAGTGTCTCAGAGAATAGGGGTTCTGGGAATTCTGTGAGCCTACTCCTTACTCCCTGGGCTCAGAGACCGGGATGGGCAGGTTTGTTCCCTCCTCTCCAGCATCCACTCACTTCGGTCAGCAGTCCCACTCGCTGCAAGTTCAGCAAACCGGCGGCTAGGAGCTAGATGCAGGGAGAGAGATGAAGGTCTCAGGGTCTGACTTCATTTCACTTGGGGTCCCAGCTAATCTCTTCAATGAAATCAAGGGCTTATTTAGTGTCCTATCCCTCCTTCTCACAGAAACCTGTCCCTACTGGCCTAGGCATATGAAGGACACTGAAAGAGAGATGGGTGAACAGATGAGGATGGTCAAGGCTGGCTTGAGGGGGGCTTACATCGGTCATGATCTTGAGTTTTCCCACGTAGATCACCTCTGTGGTCAGTAGCTCCCACAGTGCTTCCTGCTGGTGGCAAAGCTCCCGGCTCATCTCCTGGGGTGTGAATAGAGACGGTGCATTGAGATGATGACAGAAGCAACAGCAGCTACTGGACATATTTAACGGGTTCTGAGCACTATGAGCGTTGTAGTTGCATTGAGTTGATTCCAACTCATGGCAACATAATGTGTGTCAGAGTGAAACTTCTCCACAGGATTTTCTTGGTTATAATCTTAACAGAAGCAGATAATTTGGTATTTTCTTCTTTGGTGCCACTGACTGGCCTTGAACCAGCATTCTTTAGGTTAGCAACTGAACATAAGCTTTTTGAGTCACCTAGGGAGCTTTCTGTGCTCTGGCAGACATTGTTTGTGTGTATTTACAACGATTTATTCATGGCAAATACTTTTTTGTTTAAAAAATATTTTCTACTGGTTTGCTTACATTTTTTTCCACACTGAATCTTTCCCCTTTCCTTTACCTACTCCTCCTTCTTCTCATCAAATTGTGTAACCCTATGATTAACCACCCCCCAACCCCTACCCATCCTTACTTCTTTGCTCCTACTCGCCATGCCTCCCCCATCCTCGTACATGTTTTACTAGTTTTCCTTCTACTTCTACAATAATGGTCTTACACAGTATTTGTCCTTATGGGACTGAGCTAGTTCACTTAGCATAATGCACTCCAGTCCCTCCCAAGTTATACAGTAATTTTCAAAATCATTGCTCCTGCACACTGCGTAGTAGTCCATAGTGTGAATGTATCACAATTTCTCAAGTCATTCGATTGTGGTTGGACCTTTGGGCTGTTTCCATGTTCTTGCAATGGTGAATAACACTGCTTTGAAAAATTGATGTGCAAGTCTCCATTTATGTGTCAGTTCTAATTTTCTCGGGGTATATTCCAAGCAGTGGAACAGCTGGGTCATATGGAATGTCCATGTTGAGGAAATGCCAACTGCCTTCCAGAGTGGTTATTCTGGTAGACATTTTAAATAGTGTACATTAGCTTTTAATCCTCAAACCAGTCCTGCAGTGTGTAGGTGACATTATCCCCATTTTACAGAGGAGGTGACTGAGGCTTGGAGAGATTCACTGTTTTGACCAACACTAGCAAGAGGTATAATCATTTGAACCTAAACCTGGCTGCCTTCACATGACCTTGTTTCCCAAAGCCTCTCCCTCCCCCCAGGATGGAAGTGAGATGTGTGCATGTGTGTCTGTAACAAGGTGAGCTCAGATATAGGCCCACCTTGTGCCCAGGCACCAGTTCCCTCCAGGATTTCTCGAGAGTCAGGCTGCTGTCGATGCCCTCACCCATCTCCCAGTAGCGGCGGTCCTCAGGGGGCAGGCGGGGTATCCCAAACATGCTGAATGTCTGCAGGCGAGACTCCAGTTTGTGGACTTTGGGAGCATCCTGGGGGTGCCGAGAAAGGGATTATTCCAGACCACAGCATTGAAACCCAGCCTGCCTGGCTTGTGGGGAACTCAGTGTGCATGTGTATGTGTGCACATGTGACAATTACAAGGTGACAAACAGCACTGAGTATGGGGAGGGAAAGAGGACCTGGAGGACAGGTATCAGTTCCAGCTGGGATGACAGAGAGAAGGACATTGCTGTAATATGGAGAGATACCTTGGCCTGTTGAAAAACCCCTTCCTACAGGACCCTGACTATACTCTTTGGCCAGAAACCCTCTTGCCAGAAGTTTCATGAGACAGAATCTGCTGGTGACCATGGCAGGACAAGGGGAACTAGTGATGTCTGCCAATATTTTTATATGGACTTTTCTTTTTGTTAAGGCAAGATGGCTTAAATATTTCAAATCATCTTCCTTTTTTTTGGGTCTCAAATAATGAGAGAAATATTCTCAATTCTCAATCCACCATCAATGTGGTTTATGGGGAGGAGAGAGGCTTATAGTTGGGGTGGAAGTTGAAATGACTTGGGGATTGAGTAAGTATATATACTTCTCTTAATAATTTTAAAAATGAGTGTTTAATACTAAGTTTATCTTTTTAACTGTGTTAAAAGGTCCACATTGATAAAGTAGAGACAGACGCTACATGGATCACCAGGCAGAGCTGTATCTAATTTCTAGAGGGGTTCTAGGAAAAGACAACCTCCGCACTCTGTGTTCCTCAGACACTGACTGCCACTCGGCTTGGTCACAAAAGAAGAGGACCTCTTACCTTGAGTTTGGGGGAGGAAGGTTGGCTGGCCCCAAAATTATTCCCATGCTCTAGTTCTCGCAGCCTCATGGGAGACAGGCCCCGGGCCTGGCCAGAGCTCTTGGGGAAGTGAACATAGTTCTGGAGGAGGCGGCGACTGGGATCCTGAGGGAGGAGGAGGGGGAGTGGTGGGGTTCCTCTTTTTCTCCCAGAATCTCCAGACAGATATTGGAAGCCAGGCTCGGCTCCAGACCGCCAAGTTGGGTTGGCTCAGTTATCCCCTCAAACCAGTTTGGTGTGGCACTCCTGCCCTGAGTCATGGCTGTTGCTGCCAGGGAGGCCAAGCCGAGCTGAGCAGGGACATGTCAACCTGGCTGCCCAAAGGGGCCTGCAGGCTGACACGTCGGCCTCCCGCAAAGCTGGAGCACACGCAGGCACATGCCACCAGTGCCCGCCCGCACATGTGTGCTCTGCGGCATGGACATGCACAGACAGCACCCTGGGTACATCGTATCCGGGTCCCACGCTCCCTCCCCTGGCAGTGGCCAGCCTCTCTCACACATGGGGTTGAGGGCACACAGGTGTGTGGCTTCTTCTCTTGGGGCTTAGTCGGCCTCCCATCTACCTGGCAGAGGCTGTTCTTCTTGTGAGAGGCCAAGACCATATACAGGCCTGGCCACATTCTTCCATGTGCCTGGGGCCTGAATTACCCCACATATTTCTAGTATTCCCTGCCGCCCTCAGCCTAGGCAAGTCTCAGGCTGTATTCTGTCTCTGAGGCCAAATATTTCCCCTTAGAGGCAGGGGATACCCCAGGAGGAAGCCAACTGTTTTCAAGGTGCAGGGGAAGCTGAGGTTATGGGAAATACCCAAGCTTCTGCTTCCACACCCTTTTCCTTGGTCAAGATTGGAGGTGGACCAAGAGGTGGGGCCAGGGGTGGAGTCAGGGTAAGCCTCATACCCCCCTTGTAAAGCAGGGGTACCCTACACCTTCCTCTACATCCAGCTCTGAGTCAGAGAGAGAGTAGGTCTGAGGCAAACCACAGACTCCTCCCAGGTAGAGGTTGGAACTTGGGAGGTGCCAACCCTGGAGTTTGTGACCTTATCCCTGCCCCCTTCTATGCTCAGACCTGTCTAACAGCACCTCCTCTGTAGGCCAGACTTCTCCTGGCCTCACCTGCCCGGGGTGTCAGGGACCCAGTGCAGGAGCCAGGTCCAGGCACTGCCCTGATCTCCTCCCCCCATCCAACACCCGGGCAACCCAGAAAAGAAGAGTAGGGGTGAGGGACAGGAATAGAGCAGCCCATGAACTTGTAAGGGCACAAGGACCTGAGGTCTGGATGTCCTTCCTTCTCTGCTTTACTTGTCACCCTCAGAGCACAAGCTGTACTCACCGGCACAGCACCTCCCCCTCGGGGATAGAGGCTGCTGGCATGGCTTTGGTTGGAGACCTGGCGTCGGCCCCCGTAAGCCTCAATGCGAGAGGCTACAAGGCCTTGGAGGGGGCCCTCCTCTGGAGGACCAAAGCCCTTCATCTCTCCTCTCATGCCTCACCTCCAAAGGACCATAGCTCCAATGTCCAAAGAGGGAGTCCCCTGAAGCTGCAAGAGAGTAAGGAATGGGGGGATTAGGTCTGTGGGTGATACCAAGTCTAGAACAGTGGGTGACAACAACCTGGAGGCCAAGGGGTAGGAAGAGGGAAGGGGAATGGGAAGGAGAGAGCCAAGGGCTTGGTCAAAGTGTGTATGTGTGTGTGTATGTGTGTGTGTATGTGTGTGTACTTGCACGTATGCATGTGAGTACACGCACTGCTATTTCATCTACGAGATTCATCTACATGGTGGGTAGAAAGATGCTTAGAGATGTGTCTCCTACAGTCTACTACACCAGCCTCAAAGGATGCTGTGGTCCTGAGAGTAGCTGGGATCAAGGGTCACAGACAGATTTCTGGCTCCAGGTAGGAAGAACACCTTTGTACCTGCCTCTTATTAGCGGCATGGAGGGGGAAAAAAATAATCCCAAAACAGTAGGGAGGGTGGCGGTGGGGACAGGAAAATAATATGAAATTCGGAATTCAGTGTCCATAAACACATTTTTATTGGCACCCAGCCACACGTCTTCATTTACACACAGTGTGTGCTAATTGCGACAGACAGTATATAAAATCTAAACTATTTACTATCTAGAGTTTGCCATTTCCTTACCTGGACCCTCTGGGCCTCAGACAGAAAGGTGAGGTAGGAACTGTTATCAGACTTCTGCGTGAGAGATCATTCAGGCGCGAGCAGGGTTTCTGGTGCGTTATCCTTCTTCCGCAGCCTCGCAGAACACTTGCAAGGAGCTGAGAGCCAGGTGCAGGGCTCCATCCCTTCCCCCTACACCTGGAAAGAAGACCCCGGAGGGCCTGCCGAGGAGAGGCCGCCGGAATGGAGGTGGGCTCAGTGATGCTGCGCTGATGTTAGTTGTCCCACCAGGAGGACCCATGAACTTACTTTTCCTGATTTATGAGCAGCAGAAAATAAAAATTGTGCATAAAGGTCCCCTCTCGATCGCCCATAGTCTCTTGAAGGGCTGTCTCTCTCTACCCAGCTTCCTTTTCCAGCTTTGCCCCACTTCTCTCCATCCCTCCGTGAGAAGCCTAAGTCTTTACCCCGCGCTTGGGGTTCCCAGACTCCCGCCCACCCACCCACCCACCCCGCCCCACGCGCGGCCTGTCTACCCCTCACCTGTGCGGGCAGGTGTCCTCGCGGGGCTCCGCCGCCAGCTCTCCTTGCGGTGCCAACCCCGCTGCCCGGCTCGGGACTGGGACCGAGAGGCCCGCAAGCCCCAGGCGGCGCGGGCCAGGCCGGGCGTGGAAGGCGCTGGGAGCTGGGCGGGGACGCGGCTGGCACCGCCCCCTGGACACGGCGGGGCCCTGCAGTGCACGCACTGGGGAGGCCCGCAGGGGAGGCCTGGGGGCAGAGGGACCAGACTCTGGGCAACCACCTCTCAGAGCTGGAGGGCTCGCTCACCCACCCTCTTCTCCTTTTCTTTTTTGCACTTGAACTTCGCACCTGCTGAGTCCTGACCGGAGCTGTGCTGTTCCCTTGCCCTTGCCTCTCCACCAGACTCCAGGGAGGCGCCGGACTAATGAGGGGTGAACGCGAGGGCGGGAGCAGTGACCAGTGACCGGGAGATTGGTGTCCGGTGCCTTTCTCTTCCTGGGTGCAGGGCGTCGTCTGCTCTCCCCCTACTCTTCCTGCCTCATCGTCCTCTGCTAACCAAGCCTGACCGGGCCTGTGGATCCTGACCACGCTCGCGCTGCTCTCTGACTGTCGAGTCCAAAGTGTGTCCTTTATCTCTCAATAGGCCATGGTTTCCGGCCTTGGAATCAGGAGGATGGTTACTTCTGGACTTGGCCTTTGCTCTGGTGATGAGGTCGCTTGCGTGCCAGCCTAAGGCATAAACCACCACTTCTCCTATCATCACCTGTTGTTAGGAGCCATGGAGTAGGAACAGGTTCATAGCTGAATCTACAGTGGTTTTCAGAGGCAGTAAATCACATGGAAGGAAACTACCCATTTTTTCCCAGCAGAGCAACTGGTGGATTTGAACCACGTGTCAATGGGTTGGTAACACAGCTCCTTACCACTAGGCCACAAGAGCTTTCTTTGGAAGGAGACACTACGCTGGGAAAGGTATTATTGTTGTCAGGTGCTGTTGGAGTCAAGCAAATACTACTCATTACAACATTATGAACAACAGATCTAAACTCTGTCCTATCCTGGGCCATCTTCATCATTTCTGACATGCTCATGCCAATTGTGGTAGTTGCTATATTAATGAATCTCTTAAAAAATTATTATTAATTACAATGAAAATTTACAGAGACTTTGGATATCCATTCATTCATTGTTGACTTTTCTCCCCTCCCAACCATCCCCCCAGTACACTCCCCTCTTGGAAAAGTAAAAGAAAAATTCTTTCATTGTTTTACAATCCCTCCCTCAGGTCCACTCCACTATGCAGCCTTCCCTCTGGACTCCTGTCATGACAAAAATACCTAATCACATATCCCTTTTAAACAACTTTCTCCCTCATCTGTTTCAATACAGTATACATTATTGAAGCCATCTTTCTCAATCTCCCCCCAATCCCGATGTCAGTCCTGTTTTACGACAGTGGCACCATGCGGTATTTGTCCTTTTGTGACTGAGATATTTCACTCAGAATGATGTCCTCCAGGGTCACCCATTTTGACTAATATTGCATGAGTTCCTTGTTTTTCAATGCAGCATAGCGTTCCATTGTGTGAATATACCAGAGCTTCTCTATTCATTCGTTTGTTGACGGGCACTTAGGTTGTTTCCAACTCCTTGCTATTGTGAACAAAGCCGCGAAAACATGGGTGTGCATATATCGCGATAAACATGGGTGTGCATATATCTGCTTGGATGTCGTTTATGGTCTCTTTAGGGTGTATTCCCAGTAGTGAAATTGCTGGGTCAAATGGTATCTCTATTTGTAACTTTTTGAGAAAGCGCCATACCGCCTTCCACAGTGGTTGCACCAATATCAATGCATCTTGTTGAAGGTCTTACCCTCTTTCAACAACCTCTCCTAACAACATGCCCAAAGTATGTGAAATCAAGCTTTATTATTTTTGCCCCTAAGGAGAACTCTAGCTGTAATTTCTCCAAAGTATATGTTTATTCTTTTGGCAGTCCATTGGAAGGGTCAGTGAAAGAGGATATTCTACCTTGGAAAAGGATATCATGCTTGAGAGGAAGACCCTCAATGAGAGATCACAACAAATTGTGGTTAACATTGAGGAGAATGGGGATCCCAGAACACTTGGTTGTACTCATGTAAAACCTATACTCAGACCAGGAAGCAGTCCTCAGAACAGAGCAGGGAAACACTGCATGGTTCAAAATCCAGAAAGGAGTGTGTCAGGGATGTACCCTGGCTCCATACCCTTTCAATCTATATGTAGAACAGATCATTTGGGAGGCTGGGCTTTATGAGGAGGAATGTGGTATCAGGATTGGAGGAAAACTCATCAACAACCTATGTTATGCAGATAACACAACCTTGCTTGCTGAAACTGAGGAGGACCTGAAGCACTTGCTACAGAAGGTCAAAGACTGTAGTCTTCAATAAGTATTGAAGTTCAACATCAAGAAAACAACAATTCTCACCACAAAGCCAATTGGCAGCACCATGATAAATGGAAAAGAGGTTGAGTTTGTTAACTTTTACAACTTGCTCAGCTCCACAAGCAACACTCTTGGCACCAGAAGTCAGGAAATCAAAAGATGAATTGCACTGGGAAAATCTGCTCTCAGGGACCTCTCCAGAGTGCTGAGAAGCAATGATGTCAGTTTAAAGACTCCTAAGGTGCATCTGATCCAGGCCATGGTCTGCACAATTACTTTCTATGCATCAGAAAGCTGGACAATGACTAAGAATGATAGAAGAATTGATGCCTTTAAGTTATGGTGCTGGAGAAGAGTCTGGAAAAAAAAACCAATTAAGTCTGTCTTGCAGAGGATGAAACTAAGTTTCTCCTTGGAGGCTAGTATTTCGAAGCCCGGTCTTACATACTTTGGACACATGGCCAGGAAGGACCAGTCCCTGAAGGACATCATGCTTGGAAGGGTGGAGGGACAGCGCAGGAGAAGACCCTGATGAGATGGATTGTTACAGTAACAAGGACAATGAGGGTAGGTGTGTTGGAGTCAGTGAGACTGAGTGAGACTGGCTCAGGATAGGGAAGTCTTCCGAGCTGTTGTACAGAGGGTGGCTATCAGTTGTAGGTGACTTGACAACAACAACAACAATCTCATTTGATTAATAGGGTAAAGGTCTCCATTGTACTCTCCTGTTTTGCATATTAAATACATAAATAATCTAAAATGGTTCTAGTCTTCATTCTGTGCCTGATGAGGAGAGGAATTTTTTAAAATTTTAAATTCTACCTTCCCTGTCCCCATCTTCATATTTGCCTTCCAATATTCTATTTTCCTGGCCTTGACCACTTCTTTTGGGATTGCTAGGGCTCTGCTGGCCTAGTGGATAACGAGTTGTGCTGCCAACCCGAAGGTAGGCCATTTGAATCAACCAGCTTCTCCATGGGCAAGAGATGGACAACCTTCTCCTGGGTGATTTATAGCCACTGGAAGGTCACCTGTGAATTGCTTCTAGCTTGATAGCAATAAGGTTTGAGTTTTTCTAGTGGGTCAGGAGGGTCTCTTGTACCTCTAGCACCTGCCTCCTGCTTCTTAATTATTGGTGGGCTGGATCCATTTTAGGGAGAGGAGGTGGATGGGGGGAAAGCTATACAGAGGAGAAAACTCTGTTTCTTGCCTTTTCCTCTTCCCATTTTGTGTGTGTGTGTGAGAGAGAGAGAGAGAGAGAGAGAGAGAGAGAGAGAGAGAGAGAGAGAGAGAAGAGGAGAGGAGAGGAGAGGAGAGGAGAGGAGAGGAGAGAGAGAGACTGACTTAGAAACAGAGAGGCAGATATGTCTGGGGCATGCCATAAGTAGCCATAAGGG